ATACATATATGTATATGTGTTTCGGCATGAATTTTCGGTGGATGGAGCGTCATTTTATTTAAAATTGCTCTCTGTCAAGTTGTTGGTGTTGGGAATGGCATGGCATGGTTTGCATGTAACAACAAATTGCACTCACAAAAAGCGTTTGCAGGCTGCTCGCTTTGTGCATCTTGACTCTGCTGGCTGCCGTTGCCTGCCTGCCTCTTGGATGCCTGCCTCATGACTGGCCTGTCTGATGGCTGGGATTTGGCTGAGGATTCTGATGGATTTTGAGGAATGGGAATTTGGGTGCTCTTGCTGAAAGCTGAGAGAGTGCATCGTTCACTCTTAGAGGGAAATCAAATTTCAGACATTTTTCTACATTTTGTTGTTGTTGTTGGTCGGATTTTTTGAGGTCTCAAAGCCGGCATTGATGAAATTGCATTTTGATAATGGAGCGGCAGGAGTTGCAACAGTGGCTGTAGGGGCAGCCTACACACTATACTAGATACTCGTCCTTTCTGTGCCCATTGAATAGAGCAACTGAAGCGAGAGCTCAAGGCCCAAGTGGAGGGAAGGGAAGAGATGGCTTTACGCCTGTCACAACACCTGGGCACAATTTTGCCTAAATAATTGAAGGCAATGCTCAGCACAATCATACGAGTGGGGGAATGAGACAAAATCGTTTCATGTAGCTTGCAAAAGTTCTTCCCGAGTTCATTCTTCTTGTTCAAAAGTTTCCCTTGCATTTTCTGCTTCTCATTGCACTTTTCCTTGAGCCTGTTTGCCGATCATTTTGCCAACGCCTCAATTTCATTTTGCTTTGAGTGCGCCTCATTTGCTTTCCTTTCGCATACACGCGGCTGAACGCATTGGAATTTTCACACTTTTTTGCATTATTTCATTTTGAAGTTGAATTAAAGTGTTCCCTGATGGAATTGTTTTCCTTAGACATGAATAATTGATTTGTTTGGGAGACGTATTGAATTCCAACATTGCAGATGCCGCCTGTCATTTGATAAGTCACGATTTCGTAATTAATGTCACAACTGTGGCGCCTCCAAAAATATTTGAGTGGATTCCACAATTGAGTTCGTGACCAGCTTTGCTGATGGCACAAGGCAGGGGCACAGTTCTGAAAGGATTTATTGAGCTTGGCGAATAAATTTTAACGAGGGGACATCTGAATGGTCGGCACTTGGAATGGAATGGATGGCAGTGGTTGAATACCAAAGGCTATAATTATGAATAATTCCAGCCATAGCATACACTACGGTACTAGTTCTGAATAAAGTTTGTAGATTTGCTTGGATTGCACAATCCTTTACTCATTTTATTTTAACTTTAGTACATTCCTTAAAAATGTTGATAGATATTTATAGAATACCCAAGAATTTGCATCCTGCTTCATCCTACAGACAAATTGAGTTATTACAGTAAAATTGTGAAAAATTGTGCACCATTCCGGGGCAGGCAAAAGGAAAGGCCGGCATTAGTCCACAGACACACACAGACAAGGAGCACACATGATTTGCAGCATGCCTAAGTATTTGAAGCAAATCATCTTCTTCTCTTCAAGATTAAGCTGGCGCCGACTCGACCCTCCTGCTGCTCCACAGACGCTTGAAAATTTCATAAATGGCTTAAGGACGTTGCCATGATGAGGCGAATGCTGCCTGCAACCTGTGTCCGTGCCACCAGCCACTCCTCCCCCACCAGCCGCACACAATTCAAAGTTGCCATTGCCACTGATGGCTTTGATGACGTTGTGGCTCGTTCATTTGCCACCAGTGCCCTACCACACTCACTGCCACCATTCTATTTTTAGTTTGGATACCTTGGAGGAAGGTATTAAGCTCTGGGGAAGATATTTGTATTGCAGAGAAGAAGGAAAATCGCTCCATTATGCCATTTTGGTAAAAACTATTCCTTCAGCTGCAGGACATATAAGATGTCATAAGATACCATTGGAAAGGTATATCGTTTAGGGTATCTAAAGATTCGACCACCAAGTCTATCCGTTCATATTCTCTTTTTGCAATTGCAGTACTTTTCCTGTCATTACCAGTTTTCTCTTGCATCTTTTGGTTTTTTTTTTGTGCTAGCCGTCACTTGCATGCAAAATTGAAATCATCAACGTCGTCATCAGTTGCTGGCTGCCTGAGTGAGGACTGGGCTCAAATCAGACCTAAACAGTGATGATATAACTAGCTTAAGTAAAAGTAGCACACAGGGGGCAGCCGAAACATTTTCAAGAGCAACACTGGCTGTGGCACCGCTCCTTGGGAGTCTCAAGATTATTGCTCTGCTCAACGCTTTCGTGGCGTGTTTTCTTTTGGGTACAACTTTTGGCCCTAACAACCAAATAACACGCCGTGCTGCATTTTGCCGAGCTGCATTTTGCTCGACGCGCTCGACAGACCATAGCCACGCCCTCACGGCAGCCAGGCAGGCATTTCTTTTTCGCATTTCGTTTTTCAACTAGGCCAAATGCATAAATCGTTGGCGGGTCTCTAAGTGAGGAAGGATTTCCATTGTAGAAAGTTGAATTTGGGAAGTGAAAGATAGAAGAGAGAAAGCGTTGGAACAGAGGTTTACTGAAGTTCACTGAAATGTCGGTGGTAAATCAGATGAGTAACTCAGAAATAGTTTCAGGTTTGCAACCCTTAAAGAGATACTGGAAACCACTCCCTATAGCTCCAATGTCCGCTCTATGGCACCCCAATGTTTGTCTCATGTGATTATCCCCACATTATCTACATTAGCCGCATTACTTAGCCCGCCTGCCGCACAAGCAGACGCAATTTGTGGCATCACATAACATAATGAGCTTACCCTTTCGCCGCCCCCTGGGGCACCAGTGGGGTTACTTAGCGCCGAGCATAAGGGCTGCACAATGCCAACGAATCCGCAGAGTAGGGCATGTTTCGAGCCAACATGTATCACTGGAATATTCCAAGTGTCGTTCCATTTTAATAAGACAACATTTGGTAAGAACTGGGTGGGTTGCAGGGGTTAAATGGGTTGCATGGGTTTGGTGCTATTGCAGGACCTGTTACATAAACAATGAGCTGCCAATGTTCTAGCGGTGGTTACTGCAGTCTTGTGGTTGTCCTGGATCCCAGGTCCTGATCCTGGGGCCAGCTGCAAGTGTCGTGAAACTGTTGCAGTAACAAACGGACGATGAGCACGCAAAGTCGTTAAGTGCTGCGGAATGGCTTGGCTCGTGGCCTCGGATTGTTGCACATTGTCTAGCCCCTGCCCCTGCCGACTCTCGAATCGATTAAGCGGTTTAGAGTGCCCCATAAGCTGCCTCAGCAGACTGCTTGCTTGCCTGCCTTTGCCTCTTGTTGTGAACACGTGTTTTGCAGTGCCTATCCCGGGGCGTACATGTGTAGGTAGAGGTATTGCTGGTTGCAACTTCCTGGTTGCAGGTGCAGGTGCATTGTTGTCGAGCTGTGGCTGGAGGATAACACTCAGTGCACACACGCTGGGTAATTATTGAACAGGTTTATTATTTGCTTAATGGACCGTAAGGCGTTGGCGTCGGCGTTGCCTACTTACGGGAGCCGCATTTTTCAATTTAGTCGAGAGTTTAACAAAAGATTTATAATGGGGCGTTCCGGCGCACGAGTGAGTGTGTGCTGGAGCACTTTATGTCCCTCTGGAAACCCGCCGACTACTATCTTCATGTCATCTGTGTGTTTAGTGTCCCTTTCTTATGTTGCCATAAACTTTAATGTCAAGTATATATATGCTAAAAACCAGCTTGTGCAGCTCATGGGGTGTGGGCTTACTTCGGTAGGGTAACAGTGGTGGTGGTGATGTTGCAAGTACATTATGGGGTCGTTGTATGATGTGTTTTATGAGTATTTCCTTGCAGCAGAGCTCCAGGGAGCTCCCTAGTTGAGCTCACGAATCTGTCGTTAAAATAGCATCAAAAGTTGGATTAGAACACAATACACGAATCCTTGATGACACTTCGAATGTGTCCCACAATGGGGGCCCCCATATGTCGGGTATCCCTGAGTGAAATAAATAATTCCTTTAGAGCACTCTTACGGAATTATACAAGCTCTGTCCCCACATCAAAGTGGGGCAACTTCGTTAGTGGGGTTTTGTTTGTTTAGTATTGATTGGAATCGGCTTGAGTCAGCAAAGTACTTTACTTATAGTTTACTTATAATTACGAGTCCAGGACACAGATTCAGGCGTCCAACATTCTTTTATGGTAAGATACCACCCCGAAAGTTGTTTTGTTTTCCAAGTTTTATATTATGCTCATAAAAATGTTTACAAATGTCTGTGGCTTTTATATTTTTATCTTAAGGCCAGCATATTGTATATATTTTTCTGTTTTGAGATTTCAAGCGAAGTGACATGCCATTTAACGAAAACGTTAGTACTGACGATTTAAATGGCTTATTCTCCATCATTAATTATTTAATATAACGATAATTGCGTTCAAATTGTGACAAAATGCAATTCCTATCAACCAATTAAGTGTAAAATTAATTATAAAATCACAAAGTTAAGAGAAATATTCAACTGTGTGTCAGTATTGTGTGCAAACATGTCTGGTGTTTGTGAATTTTACGCTTTAAAGCATTTAAAGACACCAAGATATATATTTCAAGATATGCATATATAATTATGCGAATACTTTGTTTGTATTATCTTTCAAAACTAGACAAGATAAACCATTAATTACATTTATGTACATAAAAACCACAACGCTGCTTACCTGTCCCTACAGTAATTTGCGGTCCTGGGCAGTTAATAAAATATTCATATTTAATTGATAAAAATCAATACCAAATTTCATATTTATTCACATGAACGCGCGTATACATGTCCGATTTTCCGGTTATAAAATAACAAACACACAGTTTTGACCATGTTGACCAACAGACACTCCTATCAACCGGACTTTGTTGGTATTTAATTAACCTTTTATGGATGCGATTTCAAATGTCAGTTTTGTATGAAATTTACATATTTTCCATTGACCTTCTTTTCAGAAATACGTTAGTGAGCTGTCGACCGTTCGCGATTGTGCCACCGAGTGTGTGGAGAAAGGTGAGTGCGGGTCAACCGAAGTGATCAATTTAATTCTGCTAGTTGAACAATATAATTTGTGAAACGTTCATCGGAAAGCCGCATTCAAATTAAATGTGGTCAACCATTTTTGTTGGCCAAAACCTCAGCTAATTGTGTATTATTATCCTGTTTCTTTGTTGGCTAGAAATTTGGGAGACCCAAACACATTGCTGCACCGAGGATGGCTGTAATTCTGGCACCCACTTGGCCTACTCTGTCATCTTGTTGACCCTGCCCTTCCTATCGATCTGGCCCACAGCCGTCGATCTCTGGAACATGAGGCGTTAGGTTGAACAATTGTTCAGATGATTCACAATATCATTTGTTACTTTTTTATTTATGAACTTATTTTTGAACTAAGAAAGTGTATAAAAATTCAAAAGTTTAGCATTTATATTGAGTTTCAAAAACAAACATACGAAAAATAAATTCTGTGAACGGGACCTAATCAACTAAACAAAACATAAAGAAGAAAATTTCTATGAAAATTCAACCATTCGAACCTGTTTTGATGTGACTTATAAACTCATACGATTCCAAAACGAATTAAATATGTATATGAATATGTTGCAATATATATTTACTGTTAATACTTTGCGGCTTTGTATTTCTGACTGTCTTCCCAAAATGCACCATAATATCTGAATAAAAATAACAATGATAAAACTCTTGAAACCAAACAACTAAATGTTAAATAATTAAATAGAAGAAAATGCAAATGCAAACCTAAACTAAATCGTATTCACTATAAAACATAATGCCAAAATTTAATTAGATATAACAAGAGATGAACAAAAAAATGTTGAGAGAAAGAAAACCAGTATTGTCTGTAAGAAAAATGCCAGCTGTCAAAAGTACATAAAGAAATGCAATCACATTGAGACGTTAAATATATAAATATCATATAATTAGCGTCGTTGAATGCATTACAATTTCACAGTTCATAAACATTAATAAATACATTAAACCTAAGAACAAGAACAAAGAACGAAAGTAACGTAGAAATAAATCGTGGTAAAGTATTTGCTTTATAATTTCTATAAAGATCCACTAATATTACGCAAATGTCAAAGTCACGGTGCGTTTATTTTGGGGTCTGTGACTTTGTACTTTGTACAAGTAATATTTGCTGGATACTCTATTATATGTTGTTCCTTCTGGCCGAAGATGATAGGCGCTTAAAACGGAAAATATTTAGCACCTATGCAAATGTATGTAACTTTAAGGTGATAAGAATTATCATAGCGGAAAACGAAAAATGAAAAACGAAAATCGAGCAAATCTTCATTCCACTGTTCATGAAATTCTAAATTATATATTAAAAGTAATGTAATACTAAAGGGAATCCAATGATAACCAAAGAGGAGATGTTTCTAGCAGATTGACGAGTGTAACACAATTTGGAATAACGTAGGTAAAGAAAAACCAATTACTAGAATTATTTAGAAGTATCGAGAGAGTTTAGTGAACCCAAAGTGAATTACGATGAAAGTTCTAAGCGATTTTCTTATAGAGCACTTATGCGATTCCATTTTTAATTATTTACAATTAAAATAATACTAACATTTTAAATGATAAATACTTATAAACCTATATTTAAACAATGCATATGATATATACAACATACATAGAGACTAGATCTAAGGGCTTTCCACTATATTAAAAGCAAACAAAAAGAAAGTGTGAACAAAACAGAACAAATATACACATACAAGATTGTTAAATGTTAGTTCCTCAAAACCAAAGCAGCTTGTGTATTTAAAGCTCGCCATTCTGTTGAATAATTTGCATAAAAATTACAAATTCGATGCTTAATGAAATCGGTAAATCGGATTTGCCATTTAATTGTATTAAAAGAGGAAAATCGTCTCTGACATTTTGCCAATTAATGTGTCAAATATTTTGTCCGCTTGGACCACATTTTATGCAATTATATCATTTGACATTCACCTCGAAATTAATGATTTTCCGTTGCAAGTCCCACACTACGCTACAAGAAATGCTGGTTATTCCAATTGCAATTACAACACTAATAATAATTGTATTATATATGGTACATGTATTTCCAATAAAATTTTCATTTAATTTTTAGTAATAAACTTCAATAAAACAAACAAAAAGGAATACATTTCGTTTCATTCCACGGTACAAAACAATTGAATAAATGAGGCTCATTTTTCAAGTGCAATGCCGCTCCTTGGCAAGGACTCTTGCGAAAGTCTCTGACAAACTGGAGCAGAGCAAAAAGAGTAATGGCTAAGTAGGGCCTTGACTGAGAGAATTATTTCAGAGTTCAACAGGGCCATAAATATTTGTCTCTCCGGGAGGGCTTTCATTCTCTGAATTGAGGGATTTAATGTGCCGTCGTCATACACTTTCTGTGAGAAAACTTTCATAAATGTTGCTGATAGTTAGATATAGCTTATATCGAAGTAGAAATGAGTAAATCTAGACCAATTCACTGATCTTTTTGTCCTTGATAAATGATGCATTTGTAAAACAAATTAAAATTCCATTTCGCTATAAATTTCTTCCCCACCCCTCCAGGATTTAACCTTTCGCAATGCTATTTTTGTTATCCCAACAAAATAAATATAAAATAAAAAAAAAAGCGACAACCACTGAGTTGTGCTAATGTTTGTGCGCTCAGCGTTGAGTAATCCGGATAAGCCACGCATTTTACATATCGTCGTGTCAAACAGAAAAAGTGGTCGGGTATCGGCTGTGGCATCGACCCGACTGCCCCAATGGAAACCGGAGTAGAGTCCCCAAGCTTAGGGCGAGGCTTAACAAACAAATTCGTGATGTAAAATTGAAAGCGAAATGAACGTTTTGTGTCAGCAAAGGATTTCGCGCAATTACGCGTCGCGCCAGCGAGTAAAAAGGAAGTCTGCCATAAATATCCAACTAAATGCAACCCAGAACATGTCAAACGGTTTAAGTCGTGAGGCATGCCACAAACGAGGGCAAAACCAAAGTGCAAGGCGCTTGATTAAAACCAAGTCTGAATCATGGGGGGATGCTCCAGTGCTCCAGTGCTCCACGGCTGAACTGCTTCATTAGCATGGCCAGCGACTAGTCAAGCGCCACTTGAGGTATTCCCCAAGACAAAGGCAATAACAATGAAATGGTTTCAAGGATTTTTGGCCGCAGCTTTGGGCTGTTTGACGATGATGGAAATATAGGAATCCGTTTACACCAGAATCAATTCGAGCATCATTCGCATCCTTCGCATCCTTGAGCTCTGTTCAAGTCGTTTACTCTTTGATGCGAACTTCTATTCCATTTCATTAAGCCTAGTACAGCATACCAAATAGCTTGTGTTCTCCCTTTACGAAAACTTAAATTCTATTCCAAAATACGAAATTAAATTCCATGAAAATATTTGTTAAGTCATTTTACTATTTTTGCCAACAAAATCAGCACAAGGGATACAAAAACACCCACATGGGTCCACAGAACCATCCAAAAAACCTCGTATTAATTTATGACACTTTGTGTGCGGAGCAAACAAAAAGAAACACAGAGTCCGGAAAGCAGAAGGCATCATTTCTGTGGGCGTATCGCCGGCAGACCTGCTTGCCTGCTTTTGCTGTCCTTGAGGGAAACATCATAAATGGCAGGCTGGGGCTGGACCCAGCTTCAGAGAAGCCAAAACAAATTAAACCAAACTGAACCGAACAGAACCAGGCGGAGCCAAGGAAAGCAGAGCCATAATGAATGCTTCTGATGCCAAGAGCTTGTTGACCAAGAAATGCAACGAGATCCAGAGATTGAAGGGTGTAGTTGTCCATGCGGTGGTGCATCTGGTACTGGCATGCCCCTGGCAACGGGGGGAGTGAGCTACAAAAATGGTGCCACCAACACCTAATGAGAAATGTCAGTAATATGCCGGCCAGCCATTCCTTGCATGCGGCAAAATGATGGCTTTTCCAACTGAATCTGCAGCCAGTCACCCACTGCATCTCCACTCATTAATGACAGCCACAGACCCGGGAACACGGATGGGTGGGAATCATCAGGAATAGCTCCTGGCAATTGGCTACCCTATTTCCTGGCAGATAAGAAAAGTTCTCCCCTGCAACTGCCACAGGCACAAAATGTGAGAGGAAATGTATTGGATGGGGACGGTGCAACTGTGAGGGCACTTTTCACCTGGTTAGTTATTCCAAGTTGAAGTCTGATTAAATTGGATAGCTTGTCTGGCAATTTGTACACTTTAAGCATTTAATCGTTGGCCATTATAATAGTCATCCAATCACTTAGCAATTAACAGCATTTTCTGCCAGCACTCAAAGTGTCTGAGAAAGAATTCTCCAGTTTCTTTTGTGCCAGAAGTCACGCTATAAATGACCTCCAGCTGGCTACTTCCCACCTTCACACCAAACAGACTCATGCTGCTTGCTTTTGACTCCTTTCTGAGAGAAAATTTCTCCTTGCCCTCCATTCCGATGCAAGGAGCCTGCTCTCCACTCTTTCCCGATAACGGCTTGCTGTTTAATTGCTGCATGGCTGTCCGCGTCAGTTGCAGGCAACTTTATCCTTTATTCGCTGCCTGTTTGGCTTTTCATGTCATTAACAAGGCAACGACAATGGTAATGGCACAGACGACTACGGCCCGTACTGGCGGACTTTCCCCACTTATCGGACTTGCACTTCTTGTGTTTTATCGCGCTACACGAGGGCGTTGTGCAATTCATATTTTAATTTTATTCATTTCCATTTTCTGTTTTCCAGCTGGCTTCTTGGCCTCGCCTTGACTCGCTGCACTTTCCAGTCTCTCTCCCTCTCCCAGAATCAGCATCTGCTGGACATAATGTCGCGCCCAAATTGAAAATTGGCCAACACATTAATCCAACGCCAGTTGCCGTTGATTGCTGGACGCCTTAATGAATGCCCTCTGGTTTCGCCTACATCTCTTTAAATATCACTTACAGCATTACAGCCATGAACTCTGACCTTTCTGCTTGCCCAGTCCAGCCCCTTTAATTATTCAAACACACATTACGTATACGCCGCCTGGGCACTCGCTGACCGCAGACCAGCAGCTGTCCGCATTCACAGGCCTCAAGTGCGTGGGTGGTTCAACGAATGAGTGAGTGATTCAAAGTGTTCCACAGTGAATGATATCTATTAGACAAGCAGCATTTCGCCTGAACAACTCCAGCCATGTGGCATACTGTTAATTAATCAAATCAAGGCCATGACATAAAGCATACGCCGTGCCACGCCACGCCACGCTGATTAAGGAGGAGTCCCTTGTCCTGTGGCCGTTTGTGTTTCGCCTTCTGGAGAGTTATCAAGTGCTATATCACTGCTTGCAACACGGTCCGTTGAGTGCTGAATAATCCCTGATAAAATTGCTTTGAAATCACATTTTAATTGGCTTCGAGACATCATTTATTGTCGCTATTTTAATTAAAAGTGCAGGCTGCAAAAGTTCCAGGAAAAATAAGTAGCAGAAAATAGCTGAATGATTAATTAAAATTTATGGTATAATTGTTTGCAAGGTCCCGTGCAGTCTTCATCGTGACATATAAATTATAGTATTTCTAGAAAATGAGGAAAGAAAATAAAACCTAATGGATCTACTTTTATATAGAAAGAATAGTAATGTGCGTTAGATAATTGAATGTCATAACGAGAGCGGGAGCAATACGAATGTAATGGAAATAGAAAAACCTCGGCCCAAAAGCTCTGTCATGACAATGCAAGGCAATAATTTACTCAACTTGGCGTAAATTGAATTTATTGAATGCCAAAGCAGAAGCAGAAGCAGCTCAATTTGCCATTGGTTTACACTTGCCTCAAGGGTCAAAGGAAGACACTGAAATGTACTAAATTTTCGGTCATTTTCAAATTTAGTTCGGGATTTATTTGCTGTCGGGGGGACGACGAATCGACACGAGACGAGACAGGTCCAGTGGCCGACGACTAGACGCATTGGCAAACTAATTTTATAATTTATGTTATCGACGGCTTTTATTTGAAATTTATAGCCCCAAAGAAGCCTGCCTGTATTTGGACATTTGCATGGAGGATTGGCATCTCGATTGGGATTGAGTTCGTTGGGTTGGGGCTTGAGTGAGAGGCGGACTGAACTTTGCCCTGGACGTGGCATCAATGTATGCGGCTCTAATGAATTTTTAAGCCACTAGCCAACTATTC